CCAGTAGCAGACTCATCGTCTGACCTGACGTTCATATACACTTATTAATATTACAAACTGTATTTTTACAATTACTAGCTTACATGTATGGTGCTCATGTATACTCTGACAGTCTTTTAAACATTTTGATGTTCACATACATGTAGGCCAACAATAATAGTAATGGACTCTATGAATTCAAGCCGGTCTGGTAAAGTTACAAAGTTTAGAGCAACAGCTGTTGATTATGTACAAAGGTAATCAAAGGATTAATTAGTTTGAATTAATACAGTATATATAATATCTAGCATGATTTGTCTTAACACACCCTAAACAAAGGTGATAAACTACTAATACATACAATGTACATGTAGTAACATAATTTCATCATGTTATCTAATTGCTGATTTCTATTTATTGCAAGATTTCTAAAAGAAGAATGGAAAGAAAGGTTTAATAAGACTTTCCCAGCAGCCCGACTTGTATACCCTCTTGTAAGTGATGCATAGTATAGTCTACATCATATATAATTTGTAATAAATCTTAAAATTACATTTACGTTTCAATAAAAAGGTTCCTCAGCAACCCAACTGCTATGATTGTGGAGTATATGTCTTAAAGTTTGCAGAATACTTCATAAAGGTATAATGTACTATGTAGTCTGTGTAAATCCATTCCCACCCCTCCCCCATGCCATTAGAAAATTTTGGGAGAGATTTTTTGAACTTTTCCTGGAAGGGAGAAGGGGACAGCACAGATTTACACAGGCTAGGTATAATTTTTAAAATTAAAATTTTCAAATATTGACTTTTGGTTAATTAACTGAAAATTGATTTTTAGAGTCCCTTTCAGTCAGTTCCACACAGCATGGATTTAAAGCAGTGGTTCACACAGCAAGATGTCAACAACTTGAGGGATCAAATGCTGTCAACCCTATCATCTCTTTAGACATTGTAATATTTGAATTATAAGCTATATGTTCCTTACGTTCACATACCTTTGAACAAAGTCTCAGGCTTATTGAAGGTCGCTGGATCTGTTTTACTCAWAGCGGAATTTGTAAGGTTTTGAAGGATGTTAACATCCATGATTATTTAACATCCGTCATAACCATAAAGTCTCTTGTCGAAATTCAAAACAATTCATTTCTAGAGCTTCGAYCGCAGTAACGAGAACACAAATAAACTCAAATAAACGTATTTTACCCTTTTAGCACGAGTATAATTGTTTACATGTACATATGCGAAAACAAGAGAACTTTTAAATGAAGAACAAGCTGTAAATGGTAGCGATCGACGTCAAACAAACGTAAGCCCGCTTTACGTAAAGGCTCTACGTGTTCGAGTGAAACCGCTGACTCAAATTGGCTCAGATGGTTTCGGCGGATGTTATCTAGTGCCTTCCTAACTACTTGGGGATGGGTAGAGTCATGTTTTGAATAGTCAACATGCCCAGTCCACTATCTTGCACATTTTTTAAAATGGCGGACGCGGATATGACTTGAAAAGGCGAAAGTGCGAAAGGGACACAGACCTCGCTAAATATCTACGAATTTTGTGCTTTTATCTCAGACACACATGTCAAGACAAGACAATGTCTGACAATCGAAAATATTCCTTTGATATAGAGCATGGAAAAGATACCGATTACTGCATGCGACATATGTGGTACTGGCTTTGTGTTATAAATATGTTTTTTTTTTAGATATTTTTCAGGAGAAGTTAATGAATTTAATAAAGGCTATTCGAATTTGTGTTTGTGACAGTTTCAATTCCACTGGGAAAACTGCTTATTGTATGGTGATTAATCTATGTGAAGAWGAGATCGGTGATTGTTTATTTTCATTCTCATTTCTGTCCATTCGGCTTTTAACTCAGTATACTATTTACTCAATTCAAAATGTGGGTATTGCAGTGCAAAGGAAAAATCAAAACCCATAGACCACAGCACGAGTACCATTAGGCTCTACCCTACAGATTGAAGTGCGACTTTCTCTTGCAAAGGAAGCCTAGAGCATTCGGCCTTTCTGGATAGGGACCATATGGTTTTATTCCAGAAACTCGACAAATTCTTGGTGGTCTGTTACTTGACTGCATGGGAGATTTCCACCGGGACCCAAAGCCCATGTAATGCCGCCGCATATTGATGGAACCTATTACTATCGTCAAGTACTAATACTTCATCATTCGTTTCCACTTTTATACTCTGCCTGCAAAATTCTTACTTCCATGTGGGACCGACGTGTTGTGGCCCAGACCAAACACTTTGCACATGGTCACCTTGGAACTACTGAACGCAAAATTTATAGAAAAAGAAAAGTAAAATTCACCGAAAATTCATCGATGGAACCATATTTTCTTTTGTTCTGATTAATTTTTATTAATATTTATTCGATACTGACGGACATTCCTCTAGCTTATAAAAAGTTAGAAACGATGCACAAAGAGAAGGGAAATCCGAAAACCCAAACACGGCACATAATAAATTACATTATAATCTATAATTATAATATTTATATTTAACAATTATTCGCCGAAGGCGAAGTGATTATCAGTGAATATTTACCGAGCGGCGATCTCGCGGAATCGCCGCTCGGTAAATATTCATTGATAATCACTGAGCCTGAGGTGAATAATTGTTTTAGTATAATTTGATAATTGAATATTCATAAAAATAGAGAAAAAAGAACTACTGCATTTTCGTAAAATGTTATGTGGCGGGGATTGAAGATGGCGGTCGAGGGCCGCTCGGATTGACAGCAAAGTCGTCTTCTTGTAATRATTRYCATCTTTCTTCCTTATGGACACGTAAAACTTTGATAGACACTTGTTTAATTCACTTGTATCTGACAGTAAATTCAGRCTGTTGTTGAAACCATTCTGTCAAAAAATKTATCGAGTAAAATGTAAACAAACCAGGCGAAAACCTACAAATTTCAGCCTGTTTGACGTAAAAAGATAGATAAAAAGTAGTTTTAGACAAGGTTTTTATTATTAAATAAACAAAACTTACCTGTACCAAAACTTACCAATTGTTTAATACAACGACTCGGGGACGACGCCATTTTGCGAAAAAATCCAATATTCACCTTTATACAACTTTTCAGTAAAATCAGACGTTTTGATTGGTTGGCTTTCGTGTGTTATCAAAGTATAGATACACGGATTACGTCGAAACTAATTGTTTGTTGTATAAAACAGATAGATCTCATTTTTCCGTGCGTGTGTACTCTAATAGAWACACAGATGACGTCAAAATGTAGCGAGAACAACAGTCACGCACTCAACTGCGTGTCGTGCGTACTTTTTTCTTCTCACTACATTTTGACGTCATCTGTGTATCTATTAGATTACACACGCACGAAAAAATGAGATCTATTTGTTAAATAGGTGAACATCGCTCATTGAAGCGTCAAATTCGACCAATCAGCGCGATAGAATTATGATATTCACTTATKAAATTATACTGTTGTGACGAAATATGTGTATTGCGTGACCGTCACGTGGACGGTGACGTAGAGAGGGACCGCATGGTATGAAAGTCGAAAATGGAGTAGTGTGACTTATGAGGTTTTTCGTGAAAATAAAAGCATTCGTTCGTACATATTTCTGGTCCTTCGAGCCGGATCCGCGGCAACCATGGAAGCTCCGGACCTCATAAGGAAACGTGGCTACCTAAAAGCTGGAATAACACGAAATAAAACCAAAGCGAAGTCCACAATCGAAGCAGTGGGAAGTCGAACTGTCGTCAACAACACCAAGCAACGAATCATCCAGCATTTCGCCGACATAATCGAGGTAAACAAGCTCTTGTCAACTCTAACCACTGAAGAAAATGATAAAGTAAAGATAGTAGAATACGAAGAGGAGGTAAGAGTCACTGTAGAAGAAATAGTTGATGAAATCGATGCATATTTGGAATCAAGAGAGGACGAGCCAGCGTCCACCATTAGTTTCGCGCCTTTCCCATCATTGTTTGACCCCAAATCGAAGCAAAAGGAGCAAAGTAATGACGAAAGCTCGACGGAAAGCGACGCTCAAGGTAGTGATGTAGTATCTGAGTCAGAAKATGAGAATAAAATGAGTTTTATTGATGCTAAAGTCGCAGCTATGAGAGTCAAACAAGAGAAAAAATTGCTGACTCGAGAGAATAAATTAAAGGCGCAGGAAGCCCAACTGTCAGAAGAGCGAGCGCGTTTGAAATTAAAACGTGAAGAAAACGAAGCTGATCGGAAGAAGTATAAAGCTGAAGTACTCGGACATGACATCGAAGAATCTCAGGAACATTGTAATAAAACAATAAAAAGAGAAAAACATTGTGTACCTTCTATGAGTGTCAAACGGGAGAAGAAAGGGGGGTCACCCAAACAAGTTAAAACTAAAAATCCCAAGTCAGACAGTGACCCATCATCCAACGAAGGGACTGATGTTGAAAGTGACGGCGAAAATAACTGTGGAGGGTGGGATCTGGACTCCCTTTTCAAAGGTTTGAAAAAACCTGAACTGTCAAAGTTTTCTGGAGAGAAAGATCTTTATCATGATTGGAGAGCGCAATTTGATGTTTTCGTTGACAAGTCGAGTGCGCCAACTAAAGTGAAAATGTTGATGCTCAAAGGGGCTCTGACAGGGAAACCGCTTAAAGTGATAGAAAGGCTAGGCTTCACCCCGGCACAGTACAAAACCGCTCTCGAAAAACTCGATCAAAAGTATGGCGGAGAAAAACGCCTATTACAACGCCAATTAGACACCATCAT